TTTCCTTCTGTTTGACCCATTCCACCCATCCCTATTAAATAACTAATTATTTAACATCTTTTAAAGCTTTGTTATATATTAGAACAGGCAGGACACAAATGAGTGCTTTTAATAATATAAAAGCCCATTAGCTTCATTTACTGTTAATGTTAAAATAAACATGAGGCAATTTAGATATACTATTCCAATTTCACGGAAACTTTGATGTTTTTCTTTTCTAGTCACATAATTAAGGGAAAAACTACTAATGATATTAAGTTTGTACAGTGTTAATGACAGAAACAGGCACAAGCTGAAATTGCAACCATTAATATGAAAAAATAAAATATTTAACAGGGGAGATAGATGAGTGCAATTTTAATAAACCAAAATGAAGAAAATTAATTTTAGAAAGTTCCTAGTCTTTCACATGCTACCATTACACAAGCTGTCTCATGCATTATTTTTGTGGCATGGGTTATTTATTGATGGACCGGAGGAATGCCCTGGTTTTTGTGTATTGTTTTGTGGATGGTGAAGATTTTGCCTTTATTTGTTGAATTCTTTTCCTGTTGCCTTCTTTCTCTGTCACCAGTTCCTAAACGGAAATGGCTTTATTTACAGTGTGTGCTTTGATGGAGGGCCCCTGCCCGCGGTGTGTAGGTGGGAGGCTTGGGAGGGTCCAGCAGCAACTGAGGCTCCCAGAGCAACTTGGACTGCCAGGAGCCAGGTGAACACCGGGTCTGAGAGGCGGGGGTGCCTCGGAGGGGACAGCTGGGCCCTGGTGCCTGTGTGGGGACAGCCACTCTGTCTTCAGCTTTCGGCATGGACCATCAAGGAGAGGTAGGTAGGGTCTTGCTGTTCAGTCTGTTATTGTAGTGGGTGGCATGGCGTCTACCAGGGGCCTCAGGAAGTGGCTTTACTTGGAAATGAAGTCTTTGCAGATGTAATTAGGGAGTGAGGTGTGATCTTACTGGGTGAGGGTGGGTGCAGAGTGCAGTAAGCCTGTCCTTGTAAGAGACAGAAAGGACGCAGGGATGCAGAGATAGGCCACAGATTACGGGAAGATGGAGGCAGATTGCTGTTATGCTCCCATAAGCCAAGGAATGGGCCCAGGGCCACCGGAAGCTGGAAGAGGCAAGAAAAAGTCCTTCCGTAGAGCGTTTGGAGTCAGTGTGGCCTCGTAACATCTTGAGTTCAGACTTCTGGTCTCCAGAAATGCGAGGGGGTACATTTCTGTTGTGTTCAAGCCACTAAGTTTGTGGTCCTTTGTCACAGCACCCCTAGGAAATTCCTGACAAGCAGCGCCATAGAAACGAGTGTCCCCAACCAAAAGTCACAAAGGTGACCAGAGAATTCAAGGAGGAGGGGGAGGAGAAGAGCACTGGGACGCGGGAGCTGGAGCTGCAGGGAGGGGATGTCCAGGCTGATGTGGCATCTGTGGCTGCAGAGTTGGGCAACAGAAAATTGCTCCAGCAACAAGAAGACAGCAAGGGGACGAATCCTGAGGCTCAGGGAGGAGCCCAGGGGCCTGGGGCAGGCACGAGGCAGGTGGAACCCAGAGCCTGCCTCTGCTTGTGTGGCTCAGGCTGGAGCTGGGTTTTGGGGTGCAGTCGCAGTGGTGGAGGGTGCTTACTGCGTGTGAGGCAGGCCCCGCAGTGCAGAGCCCCACAAGACACAGGGCTCAACACCCGCAGTTTGCAGATAAGGAACTGGGGCCAGGAGAGGTGAAGGTAGCTGAACTGTGCATGGGGTGTGGCGGCGGATGTTCAGGGCTGGGAGTCGGAGGCCAGAGTCTCGGCTCCTCACTGCCACACCAGCTGCACCAGGGCGGCAGTCAACCTGAGGTGAGAGGAAAAGGTGGGGAAGCTGAGGTGGGGCTGGGTCAGGAGCAGAGCAGCCGGCCAGCAGTGACACACACGGTGACATTGGCTTGTGACTAGGAATCCCTGTGTCAGACACCAGGGAGGGTCCCAAGCGGGCCAGGTGCGGTTTCCATGGTGACCTTCTGCTGGTAAGGAGACCCAAGTCCCCAGCCTGTTCCCCCGCAGCCCACCGTCTGTCTGAAGAGTGAAGTCTAAATGCCTTTGTGCATCACTCAAAGCATGGAACATCAAACCCTCCCGTCATTGTCTGGGCTCCCGCCCCTGGCCAAAGTGAGCACAGGCAACCTTCACAGCATCCCACTCATTCCTCAGCCCCTGTCTTTGTCCCGTGCCCTCTGGTGTCTGCCGAGCACCTCCATGAGTCTGAATCTCCAGTGCCCACTGCAAGGATCAGCTCCGGCTAGAAGCCAGGCCCAGCGCTTTGGCGCAGTGAGCCCGGGTCCTATGCCCTCCGTCCCCCACCCGTCGCCATTCCTCCTCTCCAGGACTTTCTCATGCCTGACCTTCACTCTGTCCTTAGCTTAGCTCCAGGGTAGTACTAAAACTCCCTGAGTGCAGGGGTGGAGGGCTGGCCACAGGGCAGGGGACAGAGGTGGGGTGTCGGGTGTGGGGAACCCCAGAGTGCCCCCAGGGGTTCAGGAAAGCAGAGAATGGAGGCTGATGCTTGCTGAGCACTGTAGCATATGTTACCCAACTCCACTCAGCATAGCATTTAGGGTTCCTCAAAAAACAGTTATTTGGGGCTGGGGATTTAGCTCAGTGGCTCCAGGCCTGCCTGGCAAGCACAAGGTCCTGAGTTCGATCCCCAGTACCAAAAAACAAAAAAACCCATTATTCATCTGACAGAAGAGCAATGTGGGCTCAGAGATGTTGAACAATTAATGTGCAGTCACACAGAAGGAGAACTGGGGTTCAAATGGGGTTCGGACATCCCTTTCTCTGGCTCCACAGTCCATGTTCATTCAACTATTACACAAATTGGTCTGAAGCTGAAGGTTGTGGCGGAGCCAAGACCAGATCCTGGGTCTGGGTGACATCAAGGCCCAGTTGTCCTCTGAATCATTCTTGGGGATGGGAAAGGTCATGGGCAGTTGGGAAGCCATCCCAGAGCAGAAGGGCTTTGACCTCAGCAGGGAAGACAGGGCCTTTGTTGGCTACTTCACGCCAGGCAATAACACAGGACTTCTCTGCGACCTTCACAGTAGCCTTAAATCACTCCTACTTCACGATACGAGGGAAAATGTGGACATGTTTACAGAGATCAGGGCTGTCTCGAATTGTGCACCTTTCTAGCTATCTGTGTCTTTTAATGTCTTGGAGGTATTTTATAACTCTGCAAATTATAGAAAACTGATGTGAATACAGACTGTTCCTGTATACAGAGATTCAAATGGATGCTGCCTGTTGGAACAGGATTATTGCCCTGAGAATATTGGCCATATTTGTAACTGTAGGTAGGCTGAAGTAGCATCTGTGTACTGTGCTCTTTGAATTCTCCTTTGAACCAGGGTTTTGTTTGTTTTTGTGGTTCTGGAGACTGAACCCAGGACCTTTACACTGAGCTATATCTCCAGCCCTCTTATTTTAGTTTAGTTTAGTTTTTGAGACAGGGTCTCACTAAGTCACTAAATTGACCAGGCTGGGCTCAAACTTGAGACCCTCCTGCCTCAGCCTCTCAGAATGCTGGGATTATAAGGATGACCACCATGCCTGGTTTGAACTAGTTTTTAACACCCTTGGTTTTCTCACTATCTAGCTAAGAAGATCTTTTTGATTCTTGCTTTTTTATAAAAGTATTAAAGTAGATTGATTTATTTAAAAAAAAATTTCCCTTAGGGCTGGGGATTTAGCTCACTGGTTCCACTGCCTGCCTTGAAAGCGCAAGGTCCCAAGTTTGATCCCTGGTACCAAAAATAAAATTTCCCTTAGCATAGATGACAATGGTTAAAATTTAAGTACCTTGGTCAGAGCCAAAGCTTATAAGAGCTATAGTTTGTTTGTTTGTTTATTTATTTATTTATTTATTTATTTATTTATTTATTTATTTAGACAGGGTCTTGCTATGTCATTTAATTGGCCTTGAACTCACTATGTAGCCCAGGGTAGACTCAAACTCACAGCAATTCTCCTGCCTCAGCCTCCCAAGTGCTGGGGTTACAGTTTTATTTTCAATCTCATTTTTTCCCCTGCTATTCACTTAAACCCAACTTTACATCCAATTTATGAAGGTTCCAGCCATGTGGTCACTTTAACCTCTTGGAGCCTCAAGTTTCTATGATGTACTGAGGATCTCAGCCTTCCCTTACTTACCTTGGCTACCCAAATAGTCAAACATACAGAAGACCTTTACTTGTGGATTTATAATACATGTGTGTTTATAATAAAGGAGGCCCATGGGGCTGTGAACTTGGGATTAGAAGATCTGAAGGCCAATTTCTGATCCATTGCTTAGCCATTCTGTGACCTATTTCAAGTCCTTCACTCCTGTGTTGGATCTTCTCTGCAGTGGGGAGAGTGGAGCCAGAGAGCTCAAGGTGAGAGCCCTGCTCCTGGCCACCCTAGCTTGTCACCAGAGGAGGTGACCATGCATTTACATCCTGCATTCACTTCCCCATCCCTCTCCTCTGCAGTAGTTGGAATGAGGACAGTAATGGCCGTAATGATCACACTAAGGCTGCGTTAGTTTTCCACTCCTGTGACAAACACCCAAGATAAATCAACTTTAAAAAAGGAAAGATTTATCTTGGCTCACAGTTGCACACTGTTGTTGCTTGGCCTTGGTGGCCTGGACCTGTGGCAAAGCAGAACATCATTACAGCTAAGGCCATTGCCCGTGTGATAGCTCATTGCTTACATCTCAGAGACATGGTAAGGAAGGAGCAAGATAATGGATGCACATGTGTGTTCAAGACTGCAAAGTGCTGTAGAGTGCCTAATTTTCATCATTGTTTGGGTCTCAGGTGTCCCCCAAGGCCTGTGTAATGAAGGCTTGTTCCCCAGCTTGTTGTACTAAGGGGAGGTGTGAGAGACTTTCAGAGGTGGGGCCTGGGAAACGGAAGTGAGGTCACAGCGGGGGGGGGGCATGACCTGGAAGGGGATATTGGGACCCTGCCACTTCCTGTCTTTCTCTTACAGATCTTGGCTGCTACAAAGCAAGCTGTTTCGGCTGCCACAGGCCCCTGCATGACATTCTGTCTCACTTCAGACTCAGAGCATCAAGGCCAAGCAACCACAGACAGCAACTGTGAGGCAAAATACACCTTTTCTCTTTTTAAATTGATTTATCTTGGCTGTTTGTCACAGTGGTAGAAAACTAATACAGCCTTAGTGCGATCATTACGGCCACTACTGTCTTCACTCAACTACTACAAAGGGGGGGTGGGCAGGAAAGGGAATGCAGGAAGTGAATGTGTGGCCACCTCCTCTGGCAACAAGTTAGGGTGGGCAGGAACAGGTGTCCCACTGTGAGCTCTTGGCCTCCACCCTTCCTTCTGCGCCACTCAGCCAAACCAGCAGCAGCTGTCAAGGTCACCGTCATCTGCTGCACTTTCCCAGGGAAAGGTGGGGCTCTGCACCTGTGCCCCAGGAAGGCCGTTCCCAGGATCCTCACATCTATCTGCTCCCATGCACTTCCCAGTGTTTTGGCTGCAGGATGATGCTGGGGCCGGCCACCTGGACGTTACCATGGGATGACTTCCCACCAGGGTACGCTGGATAAGCTCAACCAGCCGAGTAGGTGCATATCGCCCACTTGGTGCTGGCACTAAGAGCAGAGGGTGGGGCCTGGTTTCCAGCCACGCCCTCCCCCAGGAAAGCCTGGAGAACCCCAGGGCAAAGGAAGGTAGACCCTCTCAGTCACAACCTGGAAGGGTACAGCCGAGCAAGGTTTATTTTTAAAACCTCCCCAGGGTGTCCTGGTGCCAGGCAACCTGGATTGGAAACCACTCTTGTAAAGCAATGTTTTTGTGCACAAGGAAGAGCCTATGCCACAGAGGTGTTCCGTCAAGTTCAGGGTCACCTGCAGCCCCTTTTGGGTGCATTGTTACAAGGGGCCAGTTGGGGGGGCTTTTCTTAGAGGGAGGCTGCAGGTGGGGGCTGAGCAGGGGGCTGAGGAGAGGGAGGGAGCTCTCCACCGCACTCCAGAGCAGATCTGGCAGTGAGCTTTCTCGTAAGCCCCCCCGGCTGAATGGATAATTAAACAGATAGCGAAATGGAAAGCCGCTCCACACACCTCCGGGGAGCTGGCTGGGGGAGATAATATGCTTTCCTGTCTTCAGAAGGCACAGGAGGAAAAACAACTGGGCCTAGCCGTTGGCCATTTAACAATATTGCTTTTGTAAACAAGTTGAAAAATCCAATAACTGTAAAACTTATGGCATGTCCTTAACAGCCTGTCGCTTTTTCCCCATAAATGGGTGAGTGTTTCCAAGCCAAGGTGCTCTAATTAAACAGTCCCATCCCCGGGGCAGCGAGGTCACCCCCCGGGGGTCTGAGCCTGCCTAGTGGCCCTGGAAGGAGGGCCGAGGGTCACCGCGCCTTGGGGTGCAGGCGTGGCCAGGGTTTTGTCTCGCTGGTTGGTGGGTGGGCTGTGTGACAGCTCCACGGCTGTCCTCCTACTCCTGTGTGTGGTGCAGGGCTTCTCCAACCACCGCTCCAGACCCTCCCACTGCAGACATCGAGAAGCTGTCCGATCATTACTAAGAAACCCTCTGGTGCTGGGAAGTAACACAGTAGCAGAAAATCAACTTTCAGGTCTCGAGGCGCTCAGGGCGCCAATGGGGAGACAACGCACACACGTACGCAGGCACGTATGCACAACACACCCTAGAGAGCACCAGAGGGAGGGAGCCCCACAGCCCAAAAGTGGGCACAGAATGAGGGGCGGGGATTCTGAGGGTCTCCGTGCAGGCGTCACAGATACTCAGGGCCCCGAAGCCAGAGGCCCTTTCTCCCTCCTCTGCCCCGCCCACCCCGAGTCTGGCCAGACTTCCCAGGTTGAGTCCCAGTCAAAGCTGCCCCACTGCAGGCGTTGGGGACAAGCTCCAGGGTTTCCAGGGCCCCCCGTGCTCTGACCAGCTGGCTCGGGGTTCAGGAGTCCCCAGGATCACCCCAGGGAGAGGACTGGCTGGGAAGACTCGCAGAACTCAGCAGCGCGCTGGATGGATGATGGCGTATTTTTCAACAACTGGAGTAAAATCCACGTGAAATTGACCATCTGAGCCCTTTTCAGTGCGCAGGTGAGTGGCGTTAAGCACGCTCACATCGTTACCAGCGCACCTTCCCAGAGACACTTGGCCCAGGACAGCGCTCCCACCCCAGCCCCAGGCCACCCCGTCCTCCTTTTTGTCCCTTGCATGAACGGAGTCACGCAGTGTGTGCCTCTCTGGCCACTGCAGCTTTATCACAGTGACAAATCAAAGCCAGCCACGGGGACAGACACGAGCAGGTTTGGGGGCTCCCGGGGCTCAGGAACACTTTCCCACTCAGCACCGAAGTGTGACTCAGTCGGTCGCTGGGCTTCACACGTGAGTGTGACAAGCATGGGCCACCTGACTGGACCCCCACCCCCAGGTCAGCCTGATGTCACTCAACTCAAGTCCCTGACTCTCTCGTCACTCGCTCCATGTATGTGACTTGGCCAGTCCTTCCCAAGATGTCTCATTCTTAGACTCCAGAGGGGCCACAAGAAAGACTTGCTGGCATAAACTCTCAGCTGGGGCTGAGGGGGCACCGTGAATGACACTGACACTCAGGTTACTTGGGAAATTTTAGAATTGACCTCCCAGGAACAAGGCACAGAGGCTGCCAAATTCTTCATTATGCTCCGTCCAACTTCAATGCCCTTACCCCACCTCTCAGGGCCTTCCTAGGAGACCCTGACCAGACCCCCTGGGAAACCCCGGGGTGCTCCACATGGGCTGGTAAATCACAAAGCCTCTCCACTGTGTTGTCTGCACGTAGGTGAGGATGGTTCTTTTTCAGATGAGTCCACAGGGCCTGACAATGCAGGACAGACACATAATGGGTGCTATGCCTGGATCATGTCACCTCACCAAGAGGATTGCCACTGGAGCAGACTCGGGGACCCTCTGGGAGCGGGGCTACCCTAGGCCAGGCTGTGTCCCAGTGGTGGTGACTCTCACGTGGCAGACCTCATGGCTAGGCCAGCCTCCCGGGGAGCAGGGACTGCTCAGAACAGGGTCACCAAAGCCCCCGTCTTCCCCCTGGGAGGACCCAGGCAGAGGGACACTGAGAGGCTGTGTCAGATGCTGGTGGGAGCCAGGCAGGCTTTTCCTGGCCTGCTGGTGTCCTCTACTCTGGGCATCTACACATGGAAGGAAGAGGGTCCATTAGGATTATTGTGATTAGTGTGGTCAGTCACAGGGTCCTCCCGCCTCCCTTGTCAGTGATTGGTTAAAAGATGAGCATTGGAGCCTGTCCTGGCTGATGAGATGTGCAATATGTGTTCTGACGTCTAAGAAGACATGAAAGGGAGTGGACCTGCCAGGGTTGATGGAGCCCCAGCAGCCACTTTGTGACCATTAGGATAGTGAGCTTGCTCACTGAGAGGGTTGAGGGCAAAAGGGGAAGGAAAGAAGCTAAGTCCCCAATGGTTGTGTCTGGGAGCTGGTTAAGGCTGACCCTGGACTCCTCTTGGTGGAGATAAGACATTCCTTCTGGGGTTAGGCCTGAGGGGTCAGACTTTTATCTTACTTGTAACCAAAGCATTGTCAATTAGTGGTTTTTAAACGTATTAGTCAAATCTCATAGTGGAAGCGTTTTACAGTAGAGCTCAGCACACATATTTATGTAGTGAAATTAATTCACAAGACAGTTATGTGCAGCACACTCTGATCTGCTCTCTCTCTCTCTCTCTCTCCCTCCCTCCCTCCCTCTCCCTCTCTCTCTGTTTTTTGAGACAGGGTCTCACTATGTAGCCCAGGCTGGCCTTGAACTCATGGTGATCCTCCTGCCTCAGCCTCCTGAGTGCTGGGATTACAGGTGTGCGCCACCACGCCTACCCCTATTCTGTTCTCTCTGTCTCTTTTCTAATTATCACAGCCTAGTACTGACTAACTTCATGACTACCACACTTCATGATGCTCAATTTGAAAACCATCATCCTAAAAACTCTATAGAAATAGGCACTAAATAGAGGGGAGAGGGAGAAACATCAGTTAGAGGAAAGAGTCAGGTGGCCCCCGGGTGGGTTTGGCACAGAGAAGGAGACGGAGGGGCTGGGGCTGAGGGAGAGGCACAGAGGAGCAGGCAGGTGGAGCTGTCGCACACAGGCTGAGACGCAGGAGGAGACAGAGGTGCAGCGGGCTGGCCGGCGGAGGTGCCAGGGCGGTGCCGAGAAGGACCCGGCCCCGGCAGAGCCTGAGCAGGGCGGGGTGGGTACCCGGCAGGCGCTGCGGCTTGGGGCCCCGCTCTGCTTCCTCCTCTGATACCGGGGCTGCCAGGGGCCCCTTCCCCGAGTGTGGAGACCCGGCCGCCACGGCCCCACATGGCTGTCCCTTGACAGGACGACGGAGTCTTCGCCCCCCCCCCACGGTGTCCCCAGTGTCCCTCCCGCTCCTGGGTCCCAAGGAGGGAAACCCCAGGAGCATCTGCGCCTCCTTCGCAAGCAAAAGCTGCCTTCAGAGGCGTCTGAGGAGGAGCGGGTATCTGGACGGTGGCGACCTGGCTGGGAGCCCGACCGAAGCCGCCACCTGCTCCCCGCCCGCGGTGGAGGGCACATGGGGCTGGCGGAGGGGACTGCACTGTCCCCAGCGTCCCTCTGCGCCACTCCCATCCCAAGCAGTCAGAGGTGGCAGTGGCACCCGCCCGCCTTTGTGACCTGTCCAGCCGTTCATGCGGCCCCTGAGCCACGACCTCGGTGCAGATCCGGACCCCACCCCTGTCCCTTACGTTGCCTACGGCCTCTGAGACAGAGGGGGTGGCCAGCATGGTCCGTAAAGGGCTGGAGAATGACCATGTGGCCTCCAGCGACTCTGCAACTCTATTTTAGCAGCTGTTGGTAACACGTATGTGAATGAGCACAGCTGTATTCTTTCTTTCTTTTTTTTTTTTGTACCGGGGGATGGAACTCGGGACCTTGCTCATGCGCAGCAGGCGCCGGAACCACTGAGCTAAATCCTGGGCCCACAGCTGTGTTCTTATAAAACTTTATTTACAAAAACAGCAGCACAGCCTACTGACCCTGTTGTAAGACAGCACCCTAACTGGGCATAGTGTTGCACGCCTGTAATGCCAGCACTCAGGAGGCTGAGGCAGGAGGATCATCATGAGTTCCAGGCCACCCTGGGCTCCATAGTGAATTCAACGCCAGCCTGA